GCAGCGCCAGTTTTTATTTTTATTTGAATCACTGCGTGACTGCAGGTCTAACTAAAAGAGATGTCTTCATTGTAATCGCATGAAAGGTCGTTGCATTCCAGTGTTTTTTCCTACGCTAAACTTTCTTTGTCTAGGTATTAGTCAGCGAGCTTTTAATTTTCCGTGTTGATAACGGCATTGCTTCTTGTAAGAGTTTGAATATATAAAACTTTTTATCTGACTATTTTCTTTTCATAATTATTTGTTTCTTATGGTCAAGTTACGGGAAAATACGAATCAAAGAATACTGTCCTTTTAGTTTTTCAGTGATGTACTTTAGGTGATTTCAGATCATAGTGTGCACAACGATATTCAGGCACCACCATGTACGGACGAAGATGTTCATAAGATTTTGCGACGGATTCCGGGAATGGGACCGGTGAAAGCTAGAACTTTGCTGCAGAATTTTGGAAGTATGGTTTTTGTTACTAAGTTGTTTTTCAAGCAGTTGCGCGACATTCCTAGGTCAGACCTCAGTGAAAATAAAAGATAAAAGAAATAAAGCTTCTTCCTTGACTAGCGCGGTTCCAATTTTGGGAATGCTTTAGGTTGAATAGCTCAGGCTTTTTTAGCTACTCATGATATACTTGAGCTTCAGGTACAATTTCAGTTTGCATTTTTATTCCGAGAAACTACATACAGATATAAATCCCTGCCTTTTACCAAAGACATTTTATTTTCTTTGAAGTAGTTCAAATTAAACATGCCTTATTGACTTATTGTGAAGCTTTGTACTTCATTCAAAATGGTCTGTAAACTTCGTAATTTGCGCATTCACTGAATGTTAGATTTGTTGACGAGAGTTGAAGGTTTAATGGCAAATGTCGTTAGATCCTTATAACCTCTTCGCTGACGCACCATGCAAAGGTTGTTTGAAGGTGCGTTGCACTTGAAAGGAACATGGAAAATCATATGCTGACCGCTTAGAATCGTTAGACAAAGTTTTCTTTGTTTTAAGTGCATCTGCCTTGATAATGGGTTATTTGTTATCGTTGTTTTCCTGTAACAGAGATCGAGAAGTTACCCAGTTGTTGATATCTAACTCCTTTGAAATAGTATCTCAGATTCATATGCTGCGGTAAAAGGTATGTTTTTCCCAAGCTAGTCAGCTTCAATAAGTTATTTTCACGTTACGTATTGTCTGCTAACACATCTGTAGTGAGCAGATAGTTCTCGCAGAAGACCAGGTTTTTACGACTTTCCATTGTCTTCTGGGCCATTCCATCAACCAGGCAGCACGGTGGTCTCTGAATTATTCTGCTAGTGTTCTCAGAGAGGTAATCGTTAGCAGCTCATTCATGAACCGCTGAAAAGTGCACATGCAGGATGGTTTGCCAAAAGTGTTTTCTTATGCTGCCGAGACGAGCTTCATGACATAAGATGTTTGGAGACTGCGAAGCCATTTTCAATGCGATGACCTTTCCAAGTTTTGTTTCCATATGCGATGTGTCTTTCCATGTTTTGTTAACATAGTTCCTGGGTTTCGCTGACACTAATATACTGAGTACGCTCACTTGCAAATGAAATCCGGATTCGATGTAATTAAGCTCTTATCAACTTCAGGAGACACCTGCGTTTACACTGTTGCTGATCGCTGTTGTAAGCAGCCGATGCTAGACTGGCAAAGTTTATATACCTAAAAATTTAGCTGGTAGGTATTAGTGACTATCATGAGTAATGCCTCTGAGATGCAGACCAAAATTTCAGGTTAAAGTATATCATCTTGATAGGACAGATTAAGTATAGTTGTGTTTAATGCAACATTTGTTCTTTTCTGTTTTCATCTCCTACACTACCTAGATTTTTCATACAACAAACCAGCATCGTCGATCTGTTGCTTGTACCCATAAAAATATCCTGTCTATCTAGAAGTTACGATACACGATGCATTAGAAAAGCGCGTACCCATCAGGAATTGTAACTGATGCTGTAATTTGTTTGCAGTTAGAATGTTCCTTTAGACAGATTTGCCATAAATATATGAGCTGTGTCATCCCTCTTACTAGAGCATCGCTAACCGAGTATTCCTGGCAATCCTTTTTAGCTTCTGCTGTAACTACGAACATTGTATGTCACTGTGTTTTTCTTTATTTTGTGATCCTTTGCTTTGACTATGCTAGTTGTCTAAAAATAGACGGCAGTGATGAAGATAACTGTGAATGTCATGGTGGACAACAACAGGACGTACAAGTTGCGCAGCAGTTTTCTAGATTTAGGCATCGAAGTGGTGATAGTGATGTTGATTTCTCAATTTTTAATGTTATAAATGTCATCTATATCTTCCATCCGCCTAGCCGGTGGATCGTCATTTTCTGTTTATAGGATAGACGACATGATGAAAAGGGCTAACCATGTTTTTTTCTGGGATTAGTACGGTCATTGTCCTACTGTACTGTCGTCTGTGTTTGTAGTCGGGTAGTTTTTCGTTACATATACTCACTTCAAGACATTAAAACCTTTTATACCTCTGATTATGATGATTTTATAAGCAAACCTTTCCGCTGCTTATCAGAGGTCTTCGCAGCTAAGAAAAGATTCTCCGTTGCAATTATCGTGCTGCCTTCTATCACGCTATGCCTTACTCTAGTTGTTGCTCACTTTCCATGTTGTGGACGCCTTAACTGGATTTATAAAACGGATTTATTTTGGTATATATATGACGAAATTTATTTGGCTATGTGTAGCATTTCGAACTGAAAAATACGGTGAAACCATTAAAGCATGGGAGTTGAAGCACATCAGTCAATCCGTATTTTAGAATCGTTTTAGTTGCATCACCAAAATTCTGCGTTGTAGAGGTCTACGTAGAACTTTTCGATATTCTGGATTAAGCACCTTAAATAAAATACATTTTGTTCGTGCACAGGTAGTCTGCGGACTCACAGCATAAAAATTGTTTAATAAAATGCTAAACAGTCATGCTATCAGGTAGACTGCTACGGACACCGGTTCGTACCTCACGGACTTGCTGCTTGGCGGACGTCGGATAGTGTTGATATCGCTTGCCACGGTTGGTCCGCTTCGAGCTATCTGGGGAGCTTGGTGTCAGGTGTTGTAGCTTTAATAGTTTATCAGCGATTTTAATTCGTAAAATCAGTAGACAGTTCATATTCTGTCATGACTGGCAACGTTGCACACTTAGATGATTTGTACCTCTTGATGCCTCAGGTCAACAATAACAGCCAGCAGCGCTTTCATCAATCAAAGACAATCAGTCTTACTTGAAGAAGGTTCTTGAGACACGGAATTAGTCAACTTTCGGTAGAGAAGATTCTTTTTCTTACGTGAAATCCGCACCGCTTTGTTACTGGTTCGAGTTAGAAGTCGTAGAAAGGTTGAGCCGCATCTTTTTGGACGCCCCATTTGGCAGTTCACATGGTTTCGAGCTGATGATAAGGATCTGAACTCAAAAGCAACTCTGGTTCTTTTACCTATTGCTGTTGCGCAGTAAATCGACTATGACTGCCTTGCTCATCGCTGTGTCTATAGTTTCATTTGTTTTGCTTTTTTTCTCACTGCCGTTAATACATTTATTGTTTAATTTAGAGGAATTTATTTGATCTGGACTGAAGAGACTAAATACAGTGGTGATATCGTTCAAGTAGTAAATTTTCACCGGACTTTCACGTTTGTAGTAGTCTATCACACTTAAGCTGGTTATTTTTGCCACATGTGTAACTAAGCCATTTTGTGAACGAATACCTGTTTTGCCAAAGCATGTATAATATCATCTACCAGCTCCTGAAACATCACTGATGACAAGCAAGGTATTGTTTGCCAAAATGACGTCAGTTGTGTGTATGACTACCTTTTTCAGATACCGCAAACTCTGCGTGCTTAATTTATGGTCGATGTCATACAACATTAAGCGTGGTTTTGTGGATTTATGCGCTTATTAACATATTTCGCCTTATGAACGTATATGTTTCAGCCATTAACGCATTGGTAATCATCGAAGATAAACTGACTAGTCAAACGGATCCTTCTTATTTATAGGCTGGACGAAAGAACGTGCATGACTTCAGGGTTGATCCAGTACTGTTGTTGCTGACGTTCTTTTCTT